ATTTTGATGGAAAGAGTGTTAATGGCAACTGTGACAATATGGAAAGTTGTCTTTCTGCTATAGCTAATAATCAACCATCTACACCTGAAGAATCGGCAAAAAGAGATGACAGTGAGACGCAGCATCCTTTAGAAGGTGAACAGAAAGGGTCTTGCATTCCTATGGGAATGTTAAGGACATCAGAAGATGGATACAACTGGAGGAAATATGGACAGAAACAGGTCAAAGGTAGTGAATATCCAAGAAGCTACTATAAATGTACACATCCAAATTGTCAGGTAAAGAAGAAGGTGGAGCGATCTCTTGATGGTCAAATAACAGAAATCATCTATAAGGGTGCTCATATTCATGCGAAACCTGATCCCAATCGTCGAGCCATGCTTGGATCCATGCTAATGCCAGATGATACTCCAGAAATTGGTGAAGGTGGTGGAAACCGTGCTAAAGTTGAAGCTGGGCTGACATGGAGAAACACTCAATATGGGGTGAAGGATACCAAACCCATCTCAGATTGGAGTGTTGATGGTCTAGAAAGGACATCCTCGATATCAGTTGTGACTGAGCTTTCTGATCCATTGTTAAATCCCCAAGGAAAAAATGTTGGGGTATTTGAATCTGTCGGAACTCCAGAGCTTTCATCCACACTGGCTAGTCATGATGATGATGGCGGCGGTGGTGGAGATGATGATGATCTTACTACTCAGGGAAGTATTTCAGTTTGCATTGAAGCTGATGATGCTGAGCCTGAATTGAAAAGAAGGTATTGATCTTACTATTAACTGGATATTATTATAAAATAGAAAGCCTTTAATATGTTCATTGTGGACTGCAAATTGGCTAGAAGAGGGGATCTAATAAAAGATTTGACTGTTACATGTATGGAACTGATGAAGTCGGCATCTACAGCCTTATTTTCATATTCTTTTCTGGTGAGCAGTATCTTCAGTTTTTGACGATATAGTGTGGTTGACTTTCTTAACCTCCCCGGCTCCTACCACTTTAATTGAACGCATTTTTGTGGACCTACTTAGATCTAAAATATTATGAATTACTGAGCTTAGACTTCACAAAACGTATTGTTAAGTTACCGATCTAACCCTCATTAATTTGATCATTTACATCTTTTCAATTGATGTCCTTTCGCCATAAGATTACCTCAAGTAGCTCGAGTTTGTTAAAAACATCCTGAAAAAGTTCATAATGGGTTGCAAAGATTGCTCATCTTCTGTGTGACTATTGTTGCAGGCGAAAAGAGGGTGGTTCAATTGAGACAAACTTGGCTTCTAGATCCTTACGTGAACCAAGAGTAGTTGTCCAAATTGAAACTGACGTTGACATACTTGAAGATGGGTATCGTTGGCGGAAGTATGGGCAAAAAGTTGTCAAAGGAAATCCAAATCCAAGGTACTAACATTTAAATCCATGCTAGTGCGTGTGTGAATGGGTTTTTGTTGCATTCTACGTTGTGTTTCTGAGGACCAAAGGGACGATGAATGAGTTTACTGTAAAATTGATAGCTCTTACTCCATTAATATTCTTATTTTGCTCGTACTTCAAAAAGTTTTCCTCGAGTTAAAATAGTCTCTGTTCTCGAACTTTTGATATGATCTTGATTTGTGAATTTGAAGATCGAAAGGATGTGGTGTAGGCATCAACATGGTATTGTTACTGCTTGTCATAGTATATTGATTATGTCTCCTATCATTTAAGAATTACTGTTTCGTCTACAGGAGCTACTACAAATGCACGAGTGCAGGCTGTGCAGTAAGGAAACACGTTGAGAGAGCATCACATGATCTGAAATGTGTTATAACAACATACGAAGGAAAACACAATCATGAAGTGCCTGCAGCAAGAAATGGCAGTCAAGTAAACTCGAGTAATGGCAATAGCCAACCTTCTACTTCTCATGTGCAACCGAACATGGATTTGTCCAGAAACTCGAACGTCGCAAATTCCGAAACACAAATTCAAGATCTTGCCGCCCAGTTTTATCCAAAACCTGAATTTAACTATGACTATCAGAGATCTGGTTGTTTTGACACTTTTAGGAACGATATAAAACTTGGAGCTCCTTCATTCTGTCAAATGAAGTTCCCTCAACTGCGACACACCTTGCCTTATAGCTCCTTTGGTTTAAATTCAAAGCATACTTCAACAAGCATCTCTGGTTCTTTGGCATCTGTGGTTCCAGACTTCCCAATTTCCTTGCCATTGAACCAAAACTTCTCAGCTGCTGGTTTTGATTTTACCAATGGAAGACCAATACCATCATTTCAGGTTTTCCTCTCTGGTCAGCAGCTTAGAGAAACTGATAGATTCCTCACGCCCAAACAGGAGCACGATGACGATAACATCCGTGCTTCTTTCCAACCAATTGTTGATAGTTCAAGTGGATCTTCATCATCATTGGTCTCATCAGTTTATCAACATATGATGGGAAATTTTCCGTAGCTTATTCGTTCTTCACACAAGTGTATAGGTGTAGTAAAGCTCCATATAGTTTCCACAGTAACTCTGCCTCAAATCTCTTCAAGCTATTTCCAAAGTGGCAGAAAACGTTTAAATACAAGTACTAGTGTTAATTCAACTGAGAACAGCAGTAGCCGAGGTCGAAGCTTTGATCATCTCTTGTGTAAGCTCTAAAATAAGTTCCTCAGAGGCATTTTACCATCCACCCACATGTCTATAACTCTGTAGAGCTCAATTTTGATTGTTTATTACTCAAGTTAAAAACACTTACCTTCTGCATTGTTTCAGTTACTGATGTCCATTCCAGAACAGACAACTTCAGGCTATGAAGAATGGGGTATGGGAGATCATGCCACTCACTCCTCAGATGGCTATCTTGCTCAATGCTGCCTTCCACATCAGGTTAGATTCTTGAACTGACTAATTAAAGAGGCATTTTGTGAAGTAATTGAAGAATATCTGAGCTGTGAGTTGATGATATCCATTAAAACTACCTCTACAAAGTTTACTAGAACAGAGTAGCTAAACATGGGTGAGGCTCTTGATCTCACCAAACAAACTGCCTTTAATTGAACTCTTGCAGGTGAATAACTATGGCCCAAGTCCCTCATTTCCAGTGTTGTAGGTAAGTCGGAGGTTCAGGGGTCATTTGATAATGTTTTTGTTTCCAATTTTTAAGAGAAAAAAAAACGTTTGGTAATTGTTCTCCTTACTTGTTTCTCATTTTTTCAGAAACGTTTTCGAAATTGAGTAGAAATTTTGAAATAACAAAATCAAATTTGTTATTTGTTTTTGTTTTGAGTTTTTTTTCTTTGTTTTTTTCAACACAGATAGAAGCATTGTCGTTTTTACTTTATAATAAGTATCTTAAAATAAATGTAACATAGAGATTTTAGTATTTCAATTTCAAAAATTAGTTTTCATATAAAGTTTTGAAGATCAGAAAATAAAGAACGATTGCCAAACATGTTTTTCACCTTTTTTTTCAACAAAAAAATAATTGAAAAACGGGAAATAAGAAGTGGTTGTTTGTTTTTTCGAAAAAGAAACAAGAAATGAGAAACAAGAAACGGGAACGACAACCAAATGAGTCTCTGTACATCGCAGGGAAAATCTTCCGTCTTGAGTTTTATACATTCATTAATTTTGAGCTGACTACCTTAATTTGATTTAAATTATTTCTAGAGAGATATGTGAGCAATGTTGAGATATGTGAACGATGTTATCAAATGCAAATTTGTTCTTTCTTTGTAAATCAAATAAAAGAAAAATATATGTTATAACATAATCTTATATGATCCGGTCCTCATTTTGAGTGAACTATGAACTTCTACATTGGAGACTTTGTTCTTTGATTGACATAAACGACAGTGTTCGATAAATTTATTGTTTCGTAGATAAATTTATTGTTTCGTAGATATGACTAAATTGGGACGGGTAAATATAGTATTGTAAGATGAAGTTGGCCTGTTTGTACATTTAGATAGTTTAGTGAGTATTTTACTCCTAAATTTAAACTATGAGGTCTTAGCCTCTTGTGAAATGACATAAATAATTGGTCTAATTATAAGACTGACCAAAGAGTAATATGTAATTAAAAGGCTAAATCTTTGGACCGAACTAAATCATTATTAGCTACTTTAGAAGAATTAATCGACCATGTAAAAAGTAACTTTTGGTTAATGAATGAGGATAGTATAGGTTGCTTTCGTCTCAATATCATCGATTGTGGAATCTAATCAGTTGTTGATTGTGCGAGTCTAATCAGTTGTCCGATGTATAACTCAAAACAATCTATCCTACTAACATATCATCCTTGTTCGATTATTGAACTTTTAATTAACTTAAAAACCACTATTTCGATTATTGAACTCTTAATTAGCTAAAAAACCACTCGAATGAGCAAACATTTGTATGAACTTTTGAGAGTGTGTATAAAGGGGCATTATGAAATTATTCTAAATCCCATGTTTATACTAGAGCACCCTTTTAATATTGTCTTCCACTTGTATACCCTCTCGAATGACCAGACAGACCCATTCAATATAGAACAATTTGTAAAAGAAAATTGTCTACCCTCTCGATCGATCTTCCACTTGTATACCCTCTCGAATGACCAAACAGACCCATTCAATATAGAACAATTTGTAAAAGAAAATTGTCAAAAGCAAGTTACAAGTTAAAAGAAGAATAAAGTTCATCTTCCAACTTTCAATCGAGCCCAAATCATGAGTTTAGAAACAAGTTATCAACGGGAAGTCATGTTTCAATATAGCAAGAAATGGATCAAAGCAACTACAAGACCAAGTAAAGCTGAGCTACAACACTTTATAACTTACATTTTTGTAAGTTATTATAACATTTTTGCAAGGCATTGTTCAACATTACTGATTTAGTGCATGCCCATTTCAACATATCACATATGAAACTGCAATATAAAGATGATTTATCCATCGGTTGATATCAATTTTAAGCTCGAACTAACACCAACTGTCGAAGGAGCTTCTGCTGCAACAACGCTGCATATATTTCGTTCATTTGGTCCCATTTGATCCATCCTTGAGCTTGCTCGCCAACCGACCTGAAAATTTTGCTACCGACCCAACAGAAAAAACATATAAACCAACCGATCGAGAAGTCGTTTCAACTGATTTCAAAACAGTTCAGTTTGACAGAATACTTCAATCATCCCTAGCAAACAACAAACATCCATCCTTCAAACAAATAATGCTCAAATAATGACAGTGACCAAACTTGAAACAACTTCAACTTTCAATAGCCAAAACCTAAAAACTTCAACAAAGGTAAAAGGTGAACCCAGAACATAAGAACGCAAACAGCGACCCAATTGAACGCATCACCGAGTTCGAGAAAACTACAAGGTTTTCTCCCAAATAAACCAGCATAATCGACCTTACCGGTTGCTAACTAAAAACCTAACCTGATATTAAAGCTCTACCATCAGAATATGCCATTGCTTGATATCAATGTGATCTTTTAATACAAAAACCAAGTTTAGAGAAATATAAAAGAACGTACAAGTGCATATGAAAAAGAATCCAAACACTAACTACAAAAAAGGACTCCAATCCACAAGAATCAAAACCAAGCTCATAAGTTGAATCTGATACCGAGGGGATTGAAATTAACCACTAAAGATTATTGCCTTTACAAGAAAATTGTGGGACAGTAGCTCCTTGGAGCCCAAGTGCAAGGTGGAAAAGGTAAGATTGGAGCCTGAGTGAAAAGAACAACAAAAATGTAAATATAAATACACAGATATTGATAGATTGTTGTGAAAGATCTCATTCATAAAGCTTCTTCAAAGAAAAAAAAAAAAAAAAGGCCAACCCCAAACAAGAACTCAAAGGCACTCGAAGAGATGAGACATCAACTTTATTCAAAGACTTGGTCAAATAAAGAACATGATACTTGGGCTGTCATATCATTGAAAACTTCAGCTATCTTATTTATACCAAAAGGTTCAGCTCTTTTAGCAGCTAAATATAACTACCACAAAAAGGTAAAGCTATAAAAACTTAAACAAAATGGATTATAATGATCAGTTAAATCTACTCATTCCGTGATTCCGAATCGACAGACCCTTTTGAGATTTTAGAACGAACGACGACCAAGTAACACTTTGATTTGACTTTAACTCATTTCCCGGAATCTGAGATGTCCTGCCAAAAGACTACTTTTTCTCCCAAAACATAGTTGTTTTAACAACTTAAGCAAGCCTCAAAAACATAAATATCATAGAATATAAGAGTTGAACTTACATAAGTGAAGCCATGGCGACCACAGAGACGATTGGATTTACGAAATTCCTCCTTCAGAGCTGGGTCAACTCCTAATCATTCCCCAGTAATCTACTTTCTAAATATCAAAATAACAATAAAAATCACACAACATATTCTCAAGTCATAAACAGCTTAAGCCTGCAACATTCCAGCAACACCTTAAGCTCACTCTAATCTAACTAAAATTAAACATATGACATGATAAGCAGGGAAATAAGAACATGAAACACCTCCATCATTACCATAACAACCATGATCATGTTTTTATGACATATACATAATTGCAAGAAGCTCAAGAAGGGAGACCGCAGCTCCAAGGACATCAAATATGTTTTACTCAAACACCTTACAAGTTAAAAACCACTTTCCATCAGCACCAGAGTGAAGACATAGAGAGACCCAGATTAAGAACACAAAAAAAAAAAAAAAAAAAAAAAAAAAAAAAAAAAAAAAAAAAAAAA